CTCTCTCCTTCTGTTCCTCCAGACTTCTTCCTCTCCCTCTTCCTGTTCCTCCATCCTCCTCCTCCTCCTTTTCTTCTCCTTTTCTCCCTCTCCCTCTCCACCCCTATTCCTCCTCCCTCCCCCCTTTTCTCCTTCTCTCTCTCCCTCAAAACAACACTAACATATGCTTTATTCCTTTTTTTTTATTTACTTGTTTATTTTTGGAAAATCTGTTTTCTACCCGACATTTTTCCCCATTGCTATGCAGAGAATACCAACGGAATTTAACGCTTTCCTTTTCTGTTTTACTGTTGAATTCTTTGTCGTACAGAGAATACGCGAATATATATTTTTCTTACTCCTCGTCTATTTGTTATACGGGGAATATCTACAGATTATTTCTTCTTTCTTTTAATCTCTTTATTCATCATCTGTCTCTGTCTCTGTCTCTTCTCTCTCTGTCATCTTCTCTCTCTCTCTCTCTGTCTCTGTCTCTTCTCTTTCTCTCTCTCTTCTCTCTCTCTCTTCTCTCTCTCTCTCTCTCTCTCTCTCTCTCTCTCTCTCTCTCTCTCTCTCTCTCTCTCTCTCTCTCTCTCTCTCTCTCTCTCTCTCTCTCCCTCCCTCCCTCTCCCCCTCCCCTCTCTCTCTCTCTCCCTCCCTCCCTCCCTCCCCTCTCTCTCTCCCTCCCTCTTCTCTCCTCCCTCTCTCTCCTCCCTCCCTCCCTCTCTCTCTCCCTCCTCCTCCCCCCATCTCTCTCTCCCCCCGTCGCCCCTCCCTCCTCTCTCTCTCGTGACGAGTCGTTCTATCGGGGTCCTGGGCGCTAGGACCCGGCTCGAGTATCTGGCGAAGGATCTCGAGTCATCCTCCTTCGCCACGGCAGGAGGCCACGGAACGGCGACGGAGCGGGGGGGGGAGGGGGGGTAGGAGTCAGTCGGGACAGTCCTTCCTTCGGCTCATTGCTGTATCTGTTCATTTGTGTGTTTTTTTTTTATTTATTAATTTTTCACCTCTCCTCCTTCTCTATCTTCTGTTCATTTGTGTTTTTTTATTTATTTATTAATTTTTCACTTCTCCTCCTTCTCTTTCTTCTTCATTTGTCATTATTGTTATTATTATTATTATTGTTATTATTATTACGATTATTACGATTATTATCATTATTATTCTTACTACTATCATTATTATTATTGTTATCATTTTTGTTATTATCACTATTATCCCCATTATCATTATTATCATCATCCACATTTTTATTATCATTATCATTATTGCTATTATTATTTTTTTTATCATCCTCATCCTCATCATCGCTACTACAATCCCCATTATATTACCCCTTATATTTACCGAAGAAATAATTGCCAATTCCCCTGGCTTGGTCTCCGTCGGAAGGGGAGTTGCGGCTCCACGCTATAGTTGGCGTCGAGAGGAACTTTCGCTTTGTCTGCATCCGCTGCGGTGAATATCCGAGTGGGATTGCGTGCGGAGTTTGTCTGTGTGTTGTTATGTTATGTTGTTATGTTGTTCGTTGTGTTTTACTGTAATTTTGTATGGGTCTCGGTGGTTTTGTTTAAGGCGTGTGTGTGTGTTTATTTTGTGTGGGCGTGTGTGTTTGTTTGCGTTGAGTTTGTTAGTATTGTTATGTTGTTCGTTGTGTTTTACTGTACTTTTGTATGGGTCTCGGGTGGTTTTGTTTAAGGTGTGTGTGTGTGTGTTTTGTGTGTGTTTATTTTGCGTGCGTACGTGTGTGTTTGTGTTGAGTTTGTTAGTATTGTTTGTTCGTTGTGTTGTGTTTTACTGTAATTTGTATGGTCGTTTTGTTTAAGGCGTGTGTGTGTGTTTTGTGTGTGTTTATTTTGTGGGGCGTGTGTTTGTGTGAGTTTGTTAGTTTTTTTTTTTTTTTATCGGTAGGGTTGTATGGTGTTTGTCGGTTTTGTTGTGTTGTGTTATCAGTTATGTTGAGGTTATCGGTGTGTTATGTTTTGTTTATTAATAATGCTGGTTTAGGTTTATTAGTCTGTTGTGTGGATGAAGGTTTTGGCCTCGACTTTGTCAAGTTAATTTAGTTATTGTCTTACGGTATAAAGAAATTCGAGGAAATTCTAATATCCTGTAATACTTCATTCAGTGTGTATTTTTTTTTCTTTTTTTTTTTTACTGTTAAAGACATTGTGTATTTATATTCATCAGTTTGTAAAAATCAATATATGAAGCCAAGGAACGGAGGTCGGTTTTATTATTCGATTATAGATTAATTCACCTTGGCATGGCTCTACCTTTCGTGCGCTAAGCTCCCCTCTCCGCCGCAGGCCACGTCTACACCGCCATCGGCGACTACCCGAACGCGCTGGCGTCGCACAAGCAGTGCGTGCAGCTGGTCAAGCAGATGGGCGACAAGCTGCAGGAGGCGCGCGAGATCGGCAACGTGGGCGCCGTGTACCTGGCCATGGGCGACTTCGACAGCGCCGTCGACTGCCACATGGAGCACCTGCGCATCGCCAAGCACCTCAACAACAAGGTGGAGGAGGCGCGCGCCTACAGCAACCTGGGCTCCAGCCACCACTACAAGCGCAACTTCGACCAGGCCATCGCCTTCCACAACCACGTGCTGCGGATCGCGCAGGACCTGGGCGACAGGACCATCGAGGCGCGCGCGTACGCCGGCCTGGGCCACGCGGCGCGCTGCATGAGCGACTACGGGCAGGCGCAGCGCTGGCACGAGAAGCAGCTGGACATGGCGCTCAGCACCAAGGACAAGGTGGCGGAGGGCCGCGCCTGCTCCAACCTGGGCATCGTGTACCAGCTGATGGGGCACCACGACGCGGCGCTCAAGCTGCACCAGGCGCACCTGAACATCGCGCGGCTGCTGCAGGACCGCGCGGGCATGGGCCGGGCCTACGGCAACATCGGCAACGCGTACTCGGCCATGGGCTACTACGAGCAGGCCATCAAGTACCACAAGCAGGAGCTGACCATCAGCAAGGAGGTCAACGACCGCATGAGCGAGGCCTCGACGCACGGCAACCTGGCCGTGGCCTACCAGGCGCTGGGCATGCACGAGATGGCGCTGCTGCACTACCACTCGCACCTCAACATCGCGCGCGAGCTCAAGGACACCGCCGGCGAGGCCTGCGCGCTCCTCAACCTCGGCAACTGCCACTCGTCGCGCGGGGAGTTCGCGCAGGCCGTGCCCTACTACGAGCAGTACCTCATGCTGTCGCAGGAGCTGCACGACACCGAGGGCGAGGCGCGGGCGTGCCACTTCCTCGGCTACGCCCACTACTGCCTCGGCAACTTCAAGGTGAGACTCGCGGGCAGAGGCTGGCCCGAATCGTACAAAGTCATCTCATATTTCTTGTCCCTCTTTAGTCATCCTTCCCCCCTTTCGCTATCTCTCCCTCCTTATCCTCTCACCGACTAACGCTCTCCGCCTTCGCCTCCGCAGGAAGCCATCAGATACTACGACCAGGACCTGGCGCTGGCGAAGGACCTGCAGGACCGGAAGTCCATGGGGAGAGCCTACTGCAACCTCGGGCTGGCACACCTCGCCCTCGGCAACTCGGAGACCGCCCTCGAGTGCCAGAAGTACTTCCTGGGTGAGTCCTCGTGGCACGGTTCGCTTCAGGGCATAAAATCATCAAAAATATAAAAGTACTTTCCCTTCTGTGACGAAACGTGCTGACGCCACTCTCTCAATACACACAAAACACACACAGCGGAAGCCAACCTTCGCTCCACTACGATCATCAACACCATCACCAAAATCACTACCACCGCCACCATCATCAAAATCAACACCAATCAACACAAAACACCCCACCCCCACCATCTCACGCCACTCTCTGAATACACACAAAACACATACAGCGGAACACCAACACCACCACCATACCACCATCAAACCCACTCCCCCCTCCCACCATCACCACCCCCCCACCCCCACCACCACACCACCCCACCAAAATCTCACCCTCCCCCCCCACCCCCACCAAAATCTCACCCCCCCCCCCTCTCCCCTCCCGCGCAGCCTCGCGCACATGATGAAACACCTGCAGGGGAAGTTCCGCGCCCTGGGGAACATCGGCGACGTGCTCATGAAGATGAAGAACTACGATGAGGCCGTCAAGGTGTACCAGAAGCAGCTGGTCCTCGCCAAGCAGTCACGTGACAAGGTCCTCGAGGCGTCGGCCTACGGAGCGCTCGGCCTCGCGCACCGCCTCCTCAAGTGCTTCGACAAGGCGCTCGGATACCACACGCAGGTCGGTGGACTCGCCGTCGTCGGGGGATTGGTTTCTGAATTTTGGGGTCGATTCATTTTTTTTTCGTTTTGAATCATTTTTATTTTTCTGATTTTGATTTCATTTTTTTCTCAATTTGAATCATATTTTCTTCTTATTTTTCTTTTTTTTCTTTTTTTTTCTCATTTTGGGGTCGATTTCATTTTTTTTCTCATTTTGATTCATTTTTTTCTCATTTTTGATTTGTTCATTTTTTTCTCATTTTTTTTTTTTTTCTCATGAATCATTTTTTTTTCTCATTTTTTTGATTCATTTTTTTTTTTTTTTCTCATTTTGAATCATTTTTTTCTCATTTTGATTCATTTTTTTTCTCATTTTGATTTTGTTCTCATTTTGATTCATTTTTTTTCTCATTTTGATTATTTTTTTCTCATTTTGATTCATTTTTTTCTCATTTTGTTTATTTTTCTCTCATTTTGATTATTTTTTTTCTCATTTTGATTTTTCATTTTTTTCTCATTTTGATTCATTTTTTTCTCATTTTGATTCATTTTTCCTCATTTGATTCATTTTTTCTCATTTTGATTCATTTTTTCTCATTTTGATTCATTTTTTCTTTTTGATTTCATTTTTTCTCATTTTGATTCATTGCGCAAGTAGGTTGAATTTGTTATTCATTAATTAATTATTTATTTATTGCCATTTGCTTATTTCTTATTATTTCTAGTCATTCATATATCACTCATTCATTTTAATATCGTTAGTCATTTATATATCTGTTCTTGTTTGTTGTTCTAGTCGGATATTTTCTTTTATTTTTAGTTGATTAAATTGGTTTGTAAGTTTGTAAGTCTGTAAGTATATGTAAGTAGATATTTTCTTTTATTTCTAGTTAATTAAATTAAATTTTCATTGTGATTCGCGCACAAAAGTTCAGCTTTGTTTTATATCTCACTTTATTATTGCCGTTTTCATTAATTAATTTCTTTGATTTTGGTTCATTTGATTTCCGAAATGATTTTTTTTTTGTTAATTATTGAAATTCCGAGTTAATTTTTTTTTGTCTCGTAATATATTTTATTAATGAAAGAGGTTGCCATATACAGAAATGTAAATATGAAATGAATAGAGGATAATGAACAAAAGTGAACGAACAAGAATATAGAAGTTAAGGAAAAATAATGAGAGGTTTAAACAGAAAAAGAAGAAAACAAAAGAAAAGAAAAAGAAAAAAAAAAAACATTTGTAAAAATGTAAGAACAAAGAAATACAATATCATCCGCATAATGACTCTTATTATGATACAATTATGAAAATAATGTAATGATTTGGATATGATAATTAGATTTTTTTGCTCCTCGTAATGAATTATAGGAACAATGCAGATATGAAATAAATGATAATGAACAAATATGAACGATCACGAATGTAGAAATTAAGGAAATAGATGAAAGCTTAATGAAAAAGTTAAAAAAATAATAATAAAATAAAAACCGTCACGTCACATTTGGTACACGGGAGCCCATACGAAAACGAATTAAAACAACAGATAATGCAAAAAAAAAAAAAAAAAAAAAAAAAAAAAAAAAAGCATAATGGAAAAAAAGGAAAAGAAAAAACAAAAAACAGATAAAAAAAAAAAAAAATAAAAATAAAAATAAAAACGGAATAACTATTGACCCATCCCCCCCCCTTTTCCACACCACAGGAGCTGACGATCAGACAGGAGATGGGCGACATCAAGGGAGAGTGCAAAGCCCACGGTCACCTGGGCGCCGTGCACATGTCCCTCGCCAACTACACCAACGCCATGAAGTGCTACCAGGAACAGCTGGAGAGGCGAAGGAGCTGAAGGTGAGGCGAAGAGTGGGGGGTTCACTTCTGCGTCGTTGGGGGTGTGGGTCGGTTGGGGTGTATTTTTTTGTGTGTCTGGATTTGGGTGGGTGGGTGGGTGGTGGGTTAGGTGTTTCTGGGTTTGTATTCGTTTTGTTGTCTATGTTTGTTTGTCTTTTTTTCTCTCTCTCTCTCGCTCACTCTTGTTGTTGTCTCTGTCTCTCTCTCTCTCTACGTCTGTCTGTCTGTTTGTCTTTGTCTGTCTCTGTCTGTCTGTCTTTCTCTTTCTCTGTCTGTCTGTCTCTCTTTTCTGTCTCCCGTCTCTCTCTCTCTGTCTGCCTCTGTCTGTCTTTTCTGTCTGTTTTGTCAGTCAGTCTGTCTGTCTCTGTCTTTTTCTATCTGTCTTTCTGTCTCTCTCTCTCTCTCTCTTTATCCCTCGCCCTGTCTCTACACATTCCCTATCCATAGAAACACCGCATAAACATTTCCGCCTCCGAACACGACCACCTTCCGTCGTCGAAACCAATCTCAAGCGACGATCCCTTTCCCCCCACCCCCCACCCACCCTCCACCCACTAACCACCCCCCTTGCCCTTCCCCCCCCCCCCCAGGACGCCGCCATGGAAGCCCAGGCGTTCGGCAACCTGGGCATCGCGAGACTCAACATGGGCCACTTCGAGGACGCCATCGGGTACCTGGAGCAGCAGCTGGCCACGCTCGAGCAGCTGTCCACCACGACCGCTGTGGTGGACAAGGGCCGCGCCTTCGGGAACCTCGGCGACTGCTACGACGCCCTCGGGGATTCGGAGGAGGCCATCAAGTGCCATGAGCAGGTGAGGACCGCGGGGTTATTTTTATTTATTTTTAAAAGATTTATTTTAGACTGCGGGTTATTTATTTTATTTTCAAAAGATTTGTTTTTAGACTGTTATTTTCAAAAGATTTGTCTTTAGACTGTTTTAGATTTGTTTTTTATACTAAAAGTATAACCGAAAACAACACATTTATATTATTTAATTCTGCAATCGAAAAAAAACAAAAACATTTAAGATTCAATGTGTATGTAATATCTAACACTAATACTATGAACGAAATCAAAACTACAACCCATAACTGAATCCCCAAACTATAACCATATAAGTAAAACCATCGATAAAACCCCCTAATTCTAATCCCATTTCAAGCCCAAACACACAAAACCATAACCCCATCAGCCCAAAATCACAACCCTCTTACCTCCAACCAAAATCTAACCACAATCCCTCCTCCCCTCCCCGCCCACGCCCACAGTACCTCGCCATCGCCCTCAAGACCAAAAGCCCGAGGGACCAGGAGAGAGCCTACCGCGGCCTCGGGAGCTCCCACAGATGCGTCGGGAACCTCCAGCAGGCGCTCGTGTGCTACGAGAAGCGCCTCGTCGTGTCCCACGAGCTCAACATCCCTGCTGCCAAGGGCTCTGCTTACGGCGAGCTCGGACACATCCACTACCTGCTGGGGAACTTCGAGCAGGCCATCTCGTGCATGGAGCATCAGCACAAGATCGCCAGGTGAGGGAGCCGGGATGCTGGCCTGCTGGAGTTCGTCTTTCTCTTTTGTTTCTTTTTCTTTTCTGTTCTTAAATGTTTTCTAAGGTTTGCTTTCTCTTTTTTCCAGTTTTATCTTTTTATTTTTTATTTTTGTTATTCATTATTCCCATTGTTTTTTCTTCTGTAAGGTAATATTTATTCCGTAATATTTATTCGTTGTGGTCTTGCTATTTTCTTATTCACGATTGTTATCACGTTGTGTTAAGGTTCATTTTACTTGCTGATATAAATTGTATAAATCTCTTCTACATAAACAATGTAGTATATCAAGAACATGTTTAAATGAGACTGAAGAATTCCACATAAGTAATTATGATATTATTCATACTCATCCTAGACTCATAGTACTCGTAACGCCTATGAATTTAACACCTAATGACAAATGGTAAGAAGAATTCAACACAACAAATACCAAAGAAAAACGATTAGAATAAAGAAAAACGATAAGATACTCAAAGAAATCGATAGAATAAAATCGATAAGAATACTCAACGAAAATCGATAAGAATCCTAAAAAAAAAAAAAAAAAAAAAAAACACGACGAATGAAAACAAAGAAAAGTAACCCCTACGCCCCCTTTTTCCGCAGAGAACTCGGCGACAAGCAGAGCGAGGGCGAGGCGGCGTGCGGGCTGGGCACCGTGTACCAGCAGATGTGCGAGTACAGCACGGCCCTCCGCTACCACCAGCTGGACCTCAAGATCGCCGGGGAGCTGACGAACCCAGCGGAGCAAGGGCGGGCGCACGGCAACATCAGCCTGGCCTACGAGTCGCTGGGAAATTTTGAGCAGGCGGTGACCCACGGCGAGCAGCACCTCAGCATCGCAGCGCAGATGAACGATAAGGTGGGTTGGAGGGAGGGGTGGGGTGGGGTTGGGGTTGGGGGGGGGGAGGACGTGGAGAGGCTGTGTGGGGGAGTTGCTTTGTTTGAATTTTTTCTTTTTTTTTTAATGATATTGATTATATGTGAATGTGCAAGATGCAGTACAATTGATGTGGTTTGAAAGTTTCTTGTTTGCAATTAAAGCCCGAAATCCATTAGACGTGATTTTGAGAAGTCCTTGCTCCAACCGCCCGTGCTTCCCCAGGTGGCCAAGACGTTAGCCTACGCCTCGCTGGGCCGCGTGCACCACGCCCTGGGCAACACCACCCAGGCCGTGGCGTACCTGCAGCAGGGCCTCCAGATCGCCGAGCAGCTGGGCCGCCGCGAGGACGAGGCCAAGATCCGGCACCGCCTGGGCATGGCCCTGTGGGGGCACGGCGACCTGGAGGCGGCTCAGACGCAGCTCGACCGCGCCGCCCACCTGCTCGACACCATCCGGCGGGAGGCGCGCGGCTCGCAGGACTACCGCCTGTCTCTGTTCGACCTGCAGACGGCGTCGTATCAGGCGCTGCAGCGGGTGCTGGTGGGCCTCGGCCGCAATGAGGACGCCCTGCTGGTGGCGGAGCGGGGGCGCACGCGCGCCTTCGTCGACCTCCTACTAGAACGGCAGGGCGCCTCGACCTCGTCCAGGGCGTCGCGCATCGAAGACTCGACGCCGTCGTCCGTCGACCAGATCGTGGACATCGTCAACCGGCAGAAGGCGTCGGTGCTGTACTACAGCATCGCCGCGGGCTGCCTCTACAGCTGGCTCATCGTGCCCAATAAAGGTGGGTCCTGCGGCCTCGATGCCAGGAGGGGAGGGGGGCTGGGTAATGCTCGTCATAATAAGGACAATATTAGATACTAAGTTACTGATACCTCAAAACAGAAATGACACAAACCAAGTAGTAATAGAGACCTCAGACTGTTATGGCATTTGGATCTGATTGATCAGTTGTGTGTCATGTTTAAAGTAAGCTTTTCAGGAGAATCTCTGCACTAATCCATCCCGTCTGAATCAGCCCTTTCAATCCCAACTTCCCTTCGCAGGAATCGTGAAGTTCCACGAGGTGAGCGTGAGCGAGGTGGAGGCGGAGCGCGAGGGCGACTGCGGCGAGGACGCCGTCGGCACGTCGGGCTCGCTGCTGGAGCACTACATCCAGTCGGTGCGCGACGCCCTCGGCGTGGAGTGCGGCGCCGGCGCCACGCGCGGCGGCGTGAGCAGCGAAACGGAGAGCGAGGCCGGCGACATGTGGAACGCGCACCTGGAGGAGCTCGGCGACAAGCTCAACCACGAGGCCGACCGCACGGGCTTCCTGCGCATGGTCAACCGCAACCACCTGTTCAACTCGTCCAACTACTCGCTGTCGTCGCTGTTCTCGCTCGGCTCCGTCAGCGGGTCGATCGCCTCGGGCTCGGCCTCCAGACCGGGCTCGACGCGCTCCAGGAGGGTCACCTGGCAGGGCCCGTCGTGCCTCCGCTCGCTCTACGAGCTGCTGATCG